AAGAAAGAAGAATGAAGATAAGTTAAGAAGAAAGAATAGAATTATATGAAGATGAAGATAGTAGGAAATTGAAGATTGCATGGGATATATGATCGTATAGAATAATGTAGATGGCTAAATGCTCGAGTAAGCGAGGCCAATAAAAAAAAAATAAATAAATATCAAAATCTAAAATTGAAAAATTGTAAAATAAAAACACGGCCGTATGTACTGCACTAAAAGTACGAAAATCCTTCCCATTTTTTTTGATGAGGCATAAAAATCAGATATAATAAAGGTATCAAAATATCGCTAAGAAAATTTTGAAAAATGCCTAAGAATTTATTCATCAAAGATTGTTCTTTGTGGACAATACAAAAAAAATATGTTCCTTGCAAGGTTACCGTTCAGGTGAAAAAAATATTAACGGAGTGCCCGCGGGTTCGAAATAATCGTAAATGCAGGCAGGTGATGAATTCGGGTTCAATTTTATTAACTGGCAGGTTAATATATTAAAACTAAGGTAAATCAGCGATTTTCTTACAGGTTTCAGATGCAAGACAAAATATTATTGATTATTGTATACCTCAGACAACCTGATAGTGAGCTGCAGCTATATCTGTTTTCACTTGAATTATAGATATAAATATGTTTCTAAATGACAATAGCCCGTTTCCAGCATTGTTGCATCAAATTAAAAATATATGAACAGTATTAGAGAAATTCGAAATATAGAAATATATCAAATATAGATAAATCGACATATGGTTTTTAAATTATTGAGGAGCTTTATCACAACCAGCTATAAAACTATCAAGTTCTAATTACTATTAAAAAATTAAAAAATGTACTACGAGAACGTTATTGGATTTCGAGAATGAATAATGCAAATGCAACGTTACTTTCAAGAAATACTTTATTAATAAATTAAAAATATATTTTTTCGAATGTGAGCAATGAAAAAATGCTGTTGAGCTACAAGCATTGATGAAGTTTTGTCTCTAAAGTGTTGACTAATAATTAAATTTAAAGTAAAGTATGTATCATTTATTATCATTTAATATTATGTCTTCGTCAAAGGTTTCTTTTAGATTGCGGTCTATAAATATATATTAAAACTGAAATAATATAAATCATATTACAATTTACAAAAAAAAAGAATTTATATAATGCAAATACCAGAACACTGCGGTACGGTATCATTTATCCGAAGAAATGTTACATGAATTGCTTAAAAGTGCTCTAACCCAATTTTTTGTTATACTATTCTACAATTTCTCGGACCACAGATAAAAATAATGGAAATTGATGACACAGAATTTGTGGTAAAAAATATAACGTTCTATTATAATCATAAGAATTCAATTACTCTTGAATAGAAATATCATTTTGATTTTTGTAGTAGTATGACAGAGAATAATATATATTACAGGCACTCAACAGGTGATAATTCTTCTAAAAGCTGTACCTCGGAAAGATTTTCTTAAAATGAAATAATTAGACAATGTTTCAATCTTCAAGAAAGATGAAAATTCTTTCAAATATATGTACATATTTGTAAATGTTCAAAATAAACTGTTTCATAAAAATTAATTACCCAATTTAAGAATTTTTTGAGCCAGAAAAGTCAAAATAATTCAACTTATGTTAAAAATACAGTTCGAAATTACGGTATAATAGACTATATTTACAGAAGACAATAAAATATATCGAACTTTATAAAGTTTATTGTCATCTCAGGTATTTGAAAGTCCAGGTCACAAAGGTACCTAAATTATCTTTGAACCAAGCAACAATACCAAGAAATTGTTTTGCAAATTCGAATCGATTCCCGGAAATATGAACCAAAAATAAGGTGATCAACGTTGCCAAAAATGTGATACAAAACAAGAAGGATTTGGTTTCTATAATGACAACTAATAAATAATTATAAAAAATTTCAAAGCAATATATTTGTAAAAATATTTTTATTAGTGCTATTTGATAACGATGGGTCATCACTAATTATATTAATTAGTGATTAATATAAATTAGATTAGATTAAATATATATAAATTAGATGATTAGTGAATATAAAAATATGGTAATATTTGATTATATCATCTTCTATGTAGCTTTTCAATAAAATCATAGGTTCCCAAACTATTTTGTGCCGTAGACCCCTTTGAGCTTTGTCATGGGCCGCTAATTTACTCGATATCGTTTTTCTTATATAGATCCATAGAAACATCGATTTTTTTTACTTTCTAGGTCGAATTATAAATATTGTATATGACTTTACTATAGATACATTTGATCTTATCATGGACCCCTTTGGGAATCACTGCTTTAAATCTTATTATAAGATAAAAAACAAAAATAATCAATAAAATTATTCCACAACAAAGCTTTCCGTCAAATTAATACTTTGGTTAGAGTTAAAACTCTAACGTTTTACCTATCCCGAAATAACACTTCTTGACTAAATAAACACTTCACACATCAAGAAGGACAAGAAGATATAATAATAAAACTTGATTTTATGAGCACACATTCTGTGATATTTTTTCTTGTCATACACACATCAAAAATATAACACCAAGCATGCCGAAAATTAAAAAAAAGTTACATCACGATATTAAAAAAAGGTTTGAAGCTCTTAGAGAAACAAAAAACTGGAAACTTTGGGACCGAGCAATTTTTTTTTAACAAAACACATTTTATATTGTTAACCGTATTTAGTAAGTATAGTCGATTATGAAAATGTTTGTAATACACGATAAAAGAAAATAAATTGAGCATTTATTTAGGTACCTCCGTGATTTTCAACCTGTGGGGCGGGTCAAATATTTTTTTTAAAAAGATTAACATTTTTGAAAAAAATTTAATCTGAAAAAATTAGATATTTGAGAAACTTAATTTTTTCACGAAAACTTACTTGAAGAAAAATTAATTTGAAATATTTTGGAAATTCTGAACTTTTTTTTCAAAGCAATCGTACTACTTTAACCCGAAGCGCGGATGCGCCGCGTCGCCGTCTAACGGATAAACACTGGTACGGAACCCATAGGAATGTAAACAAAATTTATACTTATTGTTAAAATATCTGATAATTTGATGTGCATATGTCTAATGATCATTTTTGACCGCCAAATGGCATTTTTTTAGATCTCCGAAACTGTTAGACCTACCTTCATGAAAATTTGATCAGTTCTTCATCTTGTTAATACAAGTAAAATGTTTTTTGAATTATTCAAATCGGACGCTCCGTTCTCTTAAAAACAGAGTTACCGTTTTTGGCACTTTTTGCCCCATATCTTTGGAAGGGCTAGACCTGCCTTCGCCAAAAACTAATCGACACGTCTCCTTATCAATACAAGTCGATTTTTTGAATTATTCAAATCGCTTCATCCGTGTTCCCGAAATCGTCGACGAAAATTTGTATCCGAACACACATACACACACACACACACATACATCCATTTTTCTAAGGTATGCCAAAATGTTCAGAAGGTTTTGAAACGTAAAGATATAAAAATTTTCATTTTCGATTTTTTTGCGATTACTTGTCCTACGGGAAGTTAAAAATACTAATTGGACAAAAATCTAAAACGTCAGAATGATATAAAAATGAATGAAAGATTTATATTTCTGATTTTGACATGATCTGATGATGATATTAACCCATTCCACCCGCGAATTCCGAGATTTTGCCGCCAGGGGGGCGGCGTCCGAGTGGAAAGGATTAATTTGTAGCCTGATAAATAAATTATAATATCAGTTGAATAATTATAAAATTAGATTGTTAGAAAAAATGAGGGAGCGCAGCATTATATTTCAAAAACGAGAAGGGGTGGCTGTATGAAAAGGTTGGAAACCACTGTAGTACCTGCAGTATATAATAGACAATATTTAATATAGTATACGTGACGATATTAATAGATATTCTTTATGAACTGCAACCAGAACTTAACAGTTTTATTAGATAATATGATAAACGTTATCTATATTTGATTTCTCTAATTTTTATTAGAATTACTCTAATAATACTGATCTAATTCTGATGCACATTTTAGTAGTTTAAGATGCATCGAAGCCGGGAAAATGCTATTTTCACTTGGAAACACATTTCATCTATATTTTCTGATACCCCTACTGCTTGATATCAAACTGTTCGAAGAGACTATCGAACCTGATTTTATATTTGCAAGGCAAAAGCTCTTAGGGACGAGCCACGGAAGCCCGAATAGATAAAAATGTTAGCAAAATATTTATTTCATTGAAATTTTGAATTTTTCATTGAACAGATGTACACAACAAAAATATTAAAACCGAAAGTAGCAAGTATTTATTCAAATCGTAAATTCACCAAACTGAATACGACCATCAGACATAATAATGCACGGTATCAAATGTCAACATGAAAATTGTAAACAAAATATCTCGATACAAATTGTATGTGAAATGATAAACAGTAATTAATTAAGTGATAAGCTGAAGTTAAAAGTTGAAAACATTTATGTAATAACATTTTTTTGAGATGAAGTAGCAATTAATGTTTGTTTAAATAACAAACATCATCATCAAACCGCAATACAAGTTAGTTCAAACAATTTTGAAAAATTAGATAATTTTCATGATTAATTCTGGTTGAAATTACCATTTCGTAATTTTTCAAATATAATTATGAATGCAACAAATTAACGTATAAAATATTGCTAAAATATATGTTTTTGATCAACAATATTCAAGAAGCACGCTTATCAGGAGATCAATTTAAATCTCCGAAATATTAGTATTAAGATATGCAGTACAAAGCAATGGAAATATATTTTATAAAAATAATCATATCAATCTACCTTGTGATACGTATTATCTTTAAAACAAATCGGACATGATAGTATTTTGATAACATTACAGCTACATCATTTCCTCAGACATGTAAAATTTTAAAACAATTTCAATACAAGAGCATGCGCACATATTTCAATACAACACGTGTTAATTTCAAAATATCTGGTTATAAAAATTAAAAAACTCACCTCCGATAAAAGCGTTATCCAAGTCACTAAATAATACACTTAATGAAAAAATATATGAAGATAAATTGGGTTCAATGGACACACACATGCACATAAGTAAAACGTCACTTTTGATAGTTATTTTAATCTTTCATCACTCCAATTATTAATTTTTACCACTTAAAAATATAGTTATATTTCCTTGTCATTCATGTTATGTTTGCTAACGACTATAGGCACAGTGAGTAGCGATTTAAAGAAAAATTACTATTTGTTATTTTGTAAAAACGCCATAACCTCATCTGTTTCCAACGAAAGTCAAATCACAACTGATCGACGCTATCGGCTAAACACGACGAGTATGGCAGCCATCTTCGTTAGTAGATACGGAGATGCGCGAACTACCTCGACTACGCACGATGTTAAGTTTGAATAATGGATGTAGAGATATAACGTGTTTGGATTTTAATAATCTTGAATCTACCCTGCGAACAATTTTAATATTAAATGCAGGTTAACTTAGGGGATGTTTAAGTAAATATTAATTTGATATTATATATTTAAAAGTATTGGTATCATATAATTTATTTTTTTGACAATTGCAGATTCTATTATGAACCACACAATTAACAATTTTTATTTTTCAAAATAATATTGTCCTCAAGGAAATTTTTATTTGAAAAGCTGTCAGTACTTAAGAGTGCTATAAGCTGTTTGGCTAATATGACATAACACTCGATTTTGCAGATGGCAACCCAAATTGTCTCAATCTTTTTAACATTTATTATTTTAATAATTTTATTGATGCAGCAATGCCGGACAAGGGATATTTTCACTTAGAAACATATTGCTACATATATTTCCAAGTGAAAGCCGATGTCACTACTGCTTTACAACAGGTTCGAAGCAGGATCGAACCCAGTACCTCTGATTCAGGTCCAGTTGCTCTAACCACTTACCAACATGTGAGACCACAATTGATATTAAAACATTGATAATTGTCACTATCAAAATATTAGAAACTAGTTGGAAGTGGGATGAATTTCGCGAAATATGTAACAATTGACTTAATCAACCGAAAATGAGATTTAGATATTTAGATAAACACATAAATTAACGGATACGTGCTTGTATGTCCTAAATTTGATTATTATAATTTTTATTGAATTGTTAATGTTTGACTCATCACATCACAAAAGTGAATTTGACACAAATTTTGACTATAATATTTTCTCAAACTTTGATGAAGTTTTAACATTAAACTATTTGTCGTAGGGCCGTAACATTTTAGTATGTTCTATAAGACTATGACATCTATCGTTAAAATATACGATTTTCATAAAAATCGGCAATTTTTTTTCTGCGACGGATTCAGGAAACGGCCCGGTAGATTTTTACCTAAAACTAACCGGTATCATTTCCAACCAATATCTTTCAAACAGTTTTTGATTTTTTCTAATTTAAATCGATTTAAATTAGAATCGATTCAGAATTGAGAGCTAAAACGTGGACGAAAAATTGTTAGCGTTACTGCTACTCAGAAAGAAACGGCTTGGCTGATCGTCGTGCAAAATTGACAGACTCTGGTCCTCATTTTGAAATCGGTCCAGCCGTTTTTGAGAAAACGTCGATTTACGGCAAAAAATCTGTTCACACACACACACTCACACATACTTCTTCAAAATTTGGTCTCATTCGATTCAGAATAGCTTAAAACGTCGAGAAAACATAAAATTAGCAAATCGAATTTTTTGATGAAAACCTAAACTTCTCCTTCGGGAAGATAATAAAAAATGCATTTGTATAAGGTTCATATCTAATAACTACTTTGTATCTGCTGGCAATTTTTATTAGATCAAGGCTAGATCTCAAAACATAACTTATTATTAGTAAATCAATGTAGGACCGCACTTTTGCTAAACATTTAAGTAAATTTTATTTTTTATATTTAAATTCAACCAAACAAAGCATCAACTTTAGTGATAAAAATCAATCAAAATCAATTTTGATACTATTCAATCTATTTTTAATTTACGTTTAATTTTCAGTGACATTCAGATAATTGAAAATAACTCAATTTGCTCTATTTTACAAATATTCACTCTTACAAATTTCTGCATATTAATTACCTACATTGAGATCTGTAAATGCTAGAGATTGCATAATACATATTTTAATACAATTACTTTGCAGATCCAAAATTTATGCTATTTCTACTATATCGTAGTAAAACTAAATCAGAAACTCTTAATCTAAATAAACTTTTAAATATTATTTACTGATCTTATTTTTTTTTATTTTCTTATATATTACAATCTTTCTAAATAGAAAGACATTGAGTAATTAGTTTGACAAATAACATATTCAATTTCAAAAGGAAAACCCAGTGGTTCACCTTTTATTACTGTACTAAATATATTTTGATTTTGGTATAATAAAGAAAAAAAGAAACTCAAATATACATACAATTATAAATAAAGTATATTATATTGCACAGACTACATATACACATACATACACACACCTATTTTAAATAATATGGTAGAACAGCTTAATATTGATTAATGTGTTAGATCTATTAATTGCATTCTTTTTAATCTTATATTATGTGTGGTGTTGTAAAGACTTGATATCAGTTCGTTTGGATGGTATTTATTGATCTTATAAAAATCTTTTTTTAATAAATTAAGAAAACTGTTAAATTTTGCAATTTACTTGCAAGAAGTTGTTAAATTTTATCATTTATTCCCACGGAATAGGCCAGAATTTGAATAGGAAAAAGGGCAAATACAGTAAACGGACAAAAATTGAAGTTAGTCTATTTGTAGTTCACTTCATATCTAATCTAAAAGGTATATCAACCAATTTTTTTATTTTTTTTATTTACATTTGTGAATTACAATCTGTCGTTCTTATACAATATTCAGTAATTTTGATGGTTCATTAAATAAAGGAAAAAGGTCGAAAGGTCATCCATTGGTGATCCGATTCGATGTTGGATATGTTTAGCTTATAGATGTAGTCCTGTTGTGAAAATATTTAATTGAGCCTACGAGTAATTGTACATATTATAGGATTACTAAAGAATATCAAAAAGGTGACGTTTACTTCTGAGCCATTCAATGTAATGTTTTTTTATTAAGTTTTTTGCCATGGTGCTAGGGTGGTTCTGTATTCTATCCTTGTATCTCAGACTGAACTTTTCAATTTCTTCCTTAACAGTGTTAATGTTCAAATCTGTATGAACCAACCAATTTGGGACATACTTAGGTGCGTTTATAATTTTTTTCAAAATCTTGTTTTTGACATCTTTGTATTATGGCGATGTTGGATTTGCGTGTCGTTCCCCAAAGCTGTATTCCGTACGTCCAAATTGGTTTCAACATGACTTTGTACAGAAGAAGTTTGTTCCATGTGCTCAAATGAGATTTTTGGTTTAACAAGCAGTACAGTTTTCTTCTCGTGATTTCCAGCTGTTGGCGTTTATATAAAGCAATTTAACAAAAAATATTGGACAATGGCGCAACATGAATCAATTGCAAAGACATTGCTTAGGGGCCGTTCAAGTATTACGTAAACACTATAGGGGGCGGGGGGGGGGGGTTTGTTGTTCTGCTTATTTTGGGTTGACATGGGGGGCAGTGGTGTCTGGATGATGATTACGTCATAGGTAGTATTTTTATTTTTTACATTAATTGCAAAATGTTTCCGTAAGCATGGGGGTAAGGGGTAAAAGCTTTGCTTACTTTTGCTGACAAGGGGGATGGGGGGGGGTAAATAATTATAATAAATCTGCTTACGTAATACTTGAACGATCCCTTATTATAATTATAGTCCTCTCAAATTGTAATTTTGACAGTATCATCTTTTTCGTGGGATTTAATATAAATCATCACTTGTTTCTTTAAGTATCAGGCGTATCTTTTCACAATGTTGTATTTTATTTACATTACTCTGTCAAAAATTTAATGTTTCATGCTATTGATAAAGTTCTCATGTTTTTTCAATGAATTTTTTCGCAAGCGATCCTATTCTTTGTTTGTACGTCGATCACCTCGCGGGCGAATTGTCGCCGTCTCCCACCGCCTCCTGACGCCCACCGTCTTCGCCCCCGGAGCCCCCCGAGACACATACTTCCGGCACGCCTTCTCGCTACGCGTTCAGTTCTTTCCGGCCCTGACTGAAATAACTCGCTTGTATATTTCGATGCAGGCGAACAATACTAACACTTGTTCATAAAGCTCTGTTATCTTACAGAAACTCTTTATATGTGTAACGAAGATCCTCAAATTAACTTCAAATTCTTTGTTGTTGGCGCGTTATTTAAAAATAATGATCGTATTGAAATGAATCAGTCTTGGATCAGGGTTGCAGACTGCAGTACAATGTGATGTGTGCAAAATATTAGATAGTTGGAACAGAGGTAATTTATAACTGCTTTAATGGAGACCAAATTATGGAAACAAATCTTTACCAAAATACTTCTCTAAATCGCTACCTGATCAGCGCGATTCACAACCGATGTTTTTCGAACAATTGCAATATATTGCGCTATTTTTTAAATCGATGCGTTCTTTTTTGAAACATCGATAAAACATACACAGTCACATTTTGACTCACATACACAAAAATTTTTTGTCCAATTTTTGTGGCGTACGATTCTTGACTTGAAATCTCGAGAAAACATATCACTTATCACTTTTCTTTGGGAATTCAATCCTCTACACTCGGATATCGCCGCCTCGGCGACAAAATACCTATAAATCTCGCATTTCGCGAGTGGAAATGCCAGTATGTCCATCAATATATCAGACACAGACCTTAATCATATGTCTATGAGAAATGAATACTTTAATCCAGAAGGCTCGATTTTTAAGAAAAACTAGTGGGGTGGGTGGCATCGCGCCTTAAGGCAAATTGCTGGAACTTCCCGTACCGTAACGAAACGTTCGAGGAATACTGAATGTTTTCAAATAGATTATTATAAATATTGTAACATTGTCTAATATTTATAAGAATTATATAAACTGAATTGCAAAGTTTAAATTATTTGTAAAGTATATTAGAACTATTATAGACAGAATTAAAAATAAAATCTGAATTATTTTCGATATACAAAAAATTA